CATATGCCACCTCTCACATCATTACCTTCTGCAAACATCCTTATCCCTGTCCGTGGTACCCTCCTTTCATCGTGGCCCCATAAGCATCTTCTGCATCCAATCAATTACCAAGTTCTGTATTAAGCGGAGTCATGTGCACATAATACATGTTCAATATGACTTTCTGACCGAGTGGACAAATTTTATATCCTGGTAACATCTGTAGACTAATACTAATGGCTATAAACTACTAATGACAGTGGTTAAGAGGATGGCTTTTGGTGGCCGATGGACCTGACTTGGGTTTAGTCCAACCTCTGCTACTTAGTAGCTCAGTGACTTTGGACACATAGTGTCCTTGTTTGCACGACATAAGCTGTTAGGGCTGTGAGAATCAGTACGAGACGCATATAAAGCCCACAGCACAGAGATGTTATCTCTCTTAGTCTTTTAGTCTACTGTCAGTGTTTATCCACTTAATCCAATGTTAAATCCAAAGGATTCTTACTCATGGTATATTGTTTTCTAAAATTTTTAATTAAAAAAATCCAAAGCAGCCCAAATCCCGAGATGATAACAAGAGCATTGAACTTTAAAACCTTCATTGGACTGTTTAATAACTCCCAGAAGGGGGCCGTCGCCCACCTTGGGCCCTTTATTTCGAGCACAAAATAAAGATCTTCACTTAAAACAGATCTCGCATCCCCTCCCGGATCCAGCCTCTGTTGCATCTACTATTGAAAAATTCAATTAAAGTAGCACTCTGGGAGGCCAAGGCAGGCGGATGGCTCAAGGTCAGGAGTTCGAAACCAGCCTGAGCAAGAGCAAGACCCCATCTCTACTAAAAAAAAAAAAAATAGAAAGAAATTAATTGGCCAACTAAAAATATATAGAAAAAAAAAATTAGCTGGGCATGATGGCGCACGCCTATAGTCCCAGCTACTCGGGAGGCTGAGGCAGGAGGATCTCTTGAGCCCAGGAGTTAGAGGTTGCTGTGAGCTAGGCTGACGCCACGTGCACTCACTCTAGCCTGGGCAACAAAGCGAGACTCTGTCTCAAAAAAAAAAAAAAAAATTCAATTAAAAATTATCTAATGCAACACACTTTATTGAGTGCTAGCTGTATGCATAGTAGCTACTTCGCCAATTATCCTGGAATATCCTCTCATGTTCCCTCGAGAAAGCTACTTTTTGATCCTTAACAAGGTCCCTCCTTTGCCCAGCCTTCCCCAGCCTCTCACACAGGACCTGCGCCCACTCGGGCTCCACAGCACGTGGGAGACTCTCTTGGAGGCGCTTCCTGTACCCGGCGCACAGGCACGGGGAGAAGTGGCCGTGTCTCCCACGTTGGCCCGCGAGACCGTCGTGTGTATGCCCTGCACACAGTAGATGCCAAATGGGCAATTGACACCCACAGGTGGCTAAAAAAGACCGGGGGAGCTGGGATGAAAGGCCTCAGGGTAGAGAATCAAAGTGGCCTGTGCCTCTCCTCCCAAGCTCAGAGCAGGGGCCGGGGAGGATGTTCTGCAGCCTCAGAGCAGGGGAAGGGGCCTCAGCGGACGGGGGTCCAAGATCAAGAAAAAGTGCAAGCTTTCATCCCATCACTCGACCATGATTGCATGGTCTTTTAAACTCTCTTCCTCCATTATTTCTGGAAAATGTATGTCACCTATCGGGCCCCCAATACATATTTATTGATTATATGAATCAATGAATGTTTTTTGTCTCCATCTGTTTGTCAACCTCTGCTTTTTATTTTTTCTGTTCTCTTTTTGTTCTTCCTAACCACGCCTCAATCTTCCCCCTCACCCTAATACACAGTTGCCCCTCCCTCTCTTTCCCCCTCATCCGTACACTAACCCCATCTATAAGAGTATGGGGTGTGTGTGTGTGTGTGTGTGTGTGTGTGCGTAGCAGCATTTCCAATTCACAGAAGAGAAAATAGACATCCAGAACCCCAAAAACCGAGCACCAAAATTCACAGAGCTGGTAATAGGTGTGTAGCAAATGTATTCCCCGATGCCCTTGCCATTTCTGCGTGCATCAATCCTTGTTGCATGTTCACTCCCAGCGCCTGTCACTCTTTGCCCCAGGGCTGCCCCAGAGTGCTAGGGCTCATTTTGCCAGTGTACACAGGGAGCCCGAGCGCCTGGAGTATAAGCGAGCTCCCCCCGCTCCCCCCCAATAAGCGTGCAGGATGGCTGCTCCTACTAATGATTGACAGGTGTGAAGGCATAAAAACTACAGCTCTCTGGCCCCAGTGGATGGGGCAGCGCTGATGCGTGACCCACACCTGCCCAGGGTGACTACGCAACAGTGACTCTCAGAGGACTTACCTTGAGGCCACACCCTTGCTTGGCCTTCTCTTCCATGTCTATCTTCTTTGGAAACCTTCCTAATAAATCTTTCACACAAATCCTCACAGCAATCACTGCCTCTGGGGAGCCAAGCCTAGGGCAAGGTAGATGCAGGATGCAAACCCAAGCCTGTCTGCCTGCCAAGTTTTTCCCATTCTATTGTGCTTGAGTTTTTCCCATTCTATTATGCAATCATGCTGGTCTGCTCCTCATTAATTTTACGGTCATTTAAAAAATTAATAGGTGTTTCTGTATAGATAGATGCAGAGGGTTCCTGAGTAAATCTTTGAAGCACAAATCTTCTGGCTGAAATACGAGATTCTATTAAATACTTTGAACAAACTTGGAGAGAGGGAAATAAAATTGCAGAAAACGGTAGAGCACTAAAACTTAAAGAAGCTCTACATGTTTATTCAAAAACCTGATGCTCTTTTGCACAGAATATTTAAATTCAGAGTTGGGAGGTTGGGGTGAAGCACATTTATTTTCTTCAATTTCTCAATTGCAATGATTTCAAATTTAGGACTTTGTCGTTGGTTTGAACAACTCCCTTAATTTCTTTTTCCCATTTGTTCAGCTTAGTAATTTTAATTCTTTTCATACTAAAATTTTATAGTGGTTGAGGAAGGCAGTTAGCCGTCACTAACCTGACAATCGTGGCCAGGAATTTGCTTTGTTCACTGCAAGTATATTTGTAATCCTCAGAATCCCAATAGTAATAAAATAAGCAACATTTTTTTCCTAACTTACTTTATGTTCAGATGTGGAATTTCTGTCTCCCAAGAGGAAATGTGACATTATTTTGGTGCCAACGGACAGAAAATCCTACCTGTGCTACGTAGAAGTTTGGAATGCACTTAATAAGGTTTTTTGTTGTTGTTTTGTTTTTTGGTTTTTTTCCAGCACTTAATAAGGTTTTTATACCTTGATTTCAAGGTGGAAAGAAATTGATCATGAGTCTCTAATAAATTTCAATCTCTTAAACCAGTCGGTGCTTAATATTTTTTTGATTTGATTAATACCCATTTTAATTTCATGAGTTCTATTAATTTTAAAAATTTAGGGTCCGAATTCATTGTCATCTAATTGCCCTTGGACTTTTCCAAGGTATAATGTTGGTGTTTTGGAACATTCCAAGCTACTATGCAACTTTTTTTTTTTTTTGAGACAGAGTCTCACTTTGTTGCCCAGGCTAGAGTGAGTGCCGTGGCATGAGCCTGGCTCACAGCAACCTCAAATCTCCTGGGCTCAGTGATCCTACTGCCTCAGCCTCTCAAGTAGCTGGGACTACAGGCATGCGCCACCATGCCCAGCTAATTTTTGTATATAATATTTTTAGTTGGTCAATTAATTCTTTCTATTTTTGGTAGAGGACGGGTTCGCTCAGGCTGGTTTCGAACTCCTGACCTTGAGCAATCCGCCTGCCTCGGCCTCCCAAAGTGCTAGGATTACAGGCGTGAGCCACCGCGCCCGGCCTTATGCAACTTTTTAAATCCATAGTAAGGAGGAGAAAATGTTTCCTACCTTCTTCACATGTTGTGCATTGTTCTGGTCCAGAAATGCCAAACCCTTTTTTTTTTTTTTTTTTGAGACAGAGTCTCACTCTGTTGCCCTGGCTGGAGTGCCGTGGCGTCAGCCTAGCTCATAGCAACCTCCAATCCTGGACTCAAGTAATCTCTGCCACTCAGCCTCCCGAGTAGCTGGGACTACAGGCATGCGCCACCATGCCCAGCTAATTTTTTCTATATACCTTTAGTTATCCAATTAATTTCTTTCTATTTTTAGTAGAGACGGAATCGCTCTTGCTCAGCTGGTTGAACTCCGTGACTGAGCGATCACGCTGGCTCGGGGCTCCCAGAGTGCTTAGGATTACAGGCTGACGCATCCTTCGCCCAGCCCCAAACCCTTTTTCAGATGGTGCAACTATGAGTCCTTGGCTTAACAATACAGCCTTGAACTTCATGGCATATCAGTTTTGCAATATCCACAGGAGAGCTGTTCTGGTGAAACAGCTCAGAGTTGCAAATATCACGTATCAATAAAATGGTAACTTTAAGAAATGTCTGTTAAGTTTGATGACTGTTTGCCGTAAACCCGAAATTTGAACCTATGTATTTCAATTTGGTATGCTAAAAAAGTACTGAATTCATGTAAAATATTTTTTGTTGCAATATTGTAATCTCAGTTCAAAATTTAACTGAAGATATAAAACCCAAACAATTTCTCTATAGTAAATTGAATTGTAAAGGTAACTTGTGTGAGATAACATGTATTTAGAATCACACACAAGTTACCTTTACAAGTTACCTAAAAAAAAAAATAAATAAAACTAGAAAATAAAATGGGCTCTGTAGTGTCAGGCACCTTGAAGACAAATATGTGTTCACACACTCTATGCTTTCTTACTTCTCCTTCTTACTGTCATTATATTGTCTCTGAGGCAAAAGACATTTGAACATTTTAGAAAAATGAAAATAAGGACTTAAAGGGAACAAAAGGTTATTTTTTTTTACCTTGTCTTTATAACTGTCCTTCACCTTGGTCCATAATTAAATAGAAAGTAAAATGAACTTTAGCTATTTAATGTTATCTCTCTTTTAAGTGTTTTTATTATATGAATAATTAGAGAAATTTAAAATCGGCAGGGACGGGGGGGGGGGGGGGGGATCCAATTACTCTAATGCAACCATTTGCAAACTATTTTCTTCCAGATGTTACCACGGCTTCTCACCCAGCCTGTTTGACATGAGTGCAGACTTATTCAGACATTAGGATATCCTGTGTGTTTCCTTTTGTTCAAACAGTTCTCCTTGTTGTGACACGGTCCTTGTGGTTGTCATTTTCAGTGGTTGCACATTGTTACACCGAGAGGATGTGCTTTAAATTATCACCATTTTCGTTGCTTTTGAAACTTCACTATTTTGTTTTGCTTCTGCTCCCTTTCCATACTTCCGATTATATCTTTAAGAGAAATTTCCAAACCTTGAATGATCAGATAAGGTAACAATACTTATGGCTTTCGATGTACATGGCCACATTTCTCCCCTGCTCCAGCCCCTTCCAAATGCACACCAATTTATAATATAAGCCGACGGGAACCGGAGGTTATTCCAAACCCAAGGTGGGCTCTCAGTTTTTAATGAGTGCTGGTCTAACTACATGAAATCATTTTAAATTTCCCCATTTAGTACAAAAGTCTTGAAACCTTCCCTAGAAATGATACGGAGGCTATGGTATTCCTCGTAAAATTGACAAATACTCTGAAAGTGACATTTCAGTCATCTTTAAATATATGTAATGGTCTTAATTCTAGGCTTGCTAATTGCTAAGCATTTCATTTAGGGATTAGTCATCAAGCTCGAGTTTCCTAATTGATACCGTCATCTCACTTGGTGCTAAACACATTTTGATGCCTAATGTGGGATCACTGGGTTGGGTGTGTGTTTTTGTGAGCACACATGCATGCCTGCTTCTTGGCAAGCAGAGCATAAAGACCGGCGACAAGACAAACAAGCAACAGTGAATTTCCATTTCCTCAGCTACCCTGAGGTTCGCCTGAGTTTATCCGAAGCTTTAGTATTCCCATTTTGCAGACTTAGACGTCTCCTGTTTTTGATTTCCCAGGAATATGTGGACTTCCAGGAGATCCTAGGGGTGTCAACTATGGCATTGCTTTTTGTTTTAATGTGCCTTAGTTGTTCTGTCTTCCTTCACACAAATGGAAAAGTGCAAAATGCAAATTTTACATGGAATTGTTCTAAAGTTCATGGGTGCTTGCTACTGTACACAGAACAGAACAATCGAGACTGCATTACAACTGTCACCACGGCGATAAGCCTTCTGAGAATTCTGAAAAGGTGGAAACACCCATCTAGTCTCCCCGGGCGGGCGCATGAGTCCAAGAGGTATCACACATTCATATAGATAAACATCCCATTAACTGCCTACACTTTCTACCTTTGAACTTTTGAAAAATTAATTTAAAGAAGCTTGTTTCCCGCGGCACTTTAAAACGAGCACCAACTTTCGTTTCATTACGAGAAAGAGTTTTGTGATCGAGGTAAAGCAAAAGGCAGAATAGAAGAAGTCACATTAGAGTCCATTTCTCTCTAAATAGTCAAAAAGTCCTGGTTTTCTTCCAACCACACCCCATGCTTGCCTTTACCCCAGCGGGTTGTAGTAGTTGGTCAGGGGAGGGCAGGTAATGATCTCTCAGCAAATGATCGGCAATTGATATATCCTTATCGTGGCAGGGCTTTGTGAGTTAGGAAAATTCTGGGTAATCCTAATTAGAGCCCTGCCCAAGCTCAAAACTTCATAACCAAACAAACCAGTTTTACAACTCAAAGAAATTTAATTTGATCTCACACTTGCAGGGGAGAAAAAAAAAAAAACACAAAAGAAGGGGAAACCCTGGCAGCTCAGCTAACGAGTAAGTGGATTTGTGGACACACTGCCAACTTGATCCAATTAAGAAACACTAGAGGTCTAATGACAGATTTGAGGAGGAAAGGGTCAGACAGCACACCAGGTTCTTGACCGTAGCCAGCCAAACTGCACCGTCTCCAGCCCAGGTGAGTGATTCCCTTCAAAATTTCAAAGCCAGCAAGGCGACAAGGAGAACCGAGCTCGTAAGCGTTCTTGCATACCCAGGTCCAGAAACTGGCTGAACACTCATCTCAGAACAAAATTCTATTTAAGCCTAAAGAAATCTACGGGACGTCCCTGGGCACGGCAAAACGGATGAAATGCTGCAGTTTCACTGATTAACATTTATCCCTGGGAAATTAACCAAGTCATTGCTAGGGTGCATGTCATCCTCCCCTTTCCCCCTCACCACCAGCCGCGTCAAGCACACCTCCTAAAGAAAACGAGCCAGAACAATGTTGTGAAAAACACACACTTGGGTACACGCTTTCATTTACCCCATGCCAAGCGTTTTCTGTTTAAGCCAAATTTGGCAAAGTCCCGCTAGAGCAACGCAAGTTTCAGACCGTGCCCTCCACAAGAAGTGCAGCGCCCGTCTGCTTACCTGTCACCAGGACTGCCTTTTGCTCCGCAGGTAACAGTTCTTGGCCAGATAAGTAAGTATACACGAGGAAGCACGTCAAGGAGGAAAGGATCAAGCCGCAGAAGAGGGACAGACTGAGCAGGTAAACCCCTCCCCAGAGGCCTGCGAGGCAGACCGCTCCCTGCACCAGCCCAGGGCTTCCGTTGTATTTGCAGAGAACTGTCCCCCCGAGCGCTGCGAGGACAGCCAGGAAGAGCCACGCCATCTCAGAGGAGAGATCGCCCCTCCTCAGAGACTGCACCTTCACGCGCCCGCGGCCAGCGAGTCCGGTGGGCAAAGCCCGGCTGGAGGCAGCCTGAGTTATAAGAACGGAGAGGCAAGAAGGGAGGGGAGAGAGCAGCCCCAGCACCCTCTGGCTGAGCCTGGATTAAGGAAAATCATACAGGCTCATATTCCCAGTGGGGTAGTTTAAACCCGTGTGCACGTCAACATAAATACCAGGGCACTTCCTATTTGATCACTCCCCTCCCACCCCCTGCATGCAGAACACATACACATACCCACAGACGCACACCTTTTTTTTTTTTTTTTTTTAAATGCAATCCACCTCTGGAGAGATGAGTAATTGGATAATAATTGACAGAATTCAAACCGAACAGAGAATAACAAAATCTCTAGCTCACAGGGGGAAAAAACTGTTTTCTTCGGAAGCCTGCAGTGTCTGTCAGTTCTTTTGGTGACTGAGGAGTGTGTGTGTGTGTATAAATCCAGGCAATCAGTGAAGTCTGGAAGATAGATTTTGGAAGGGAAAGGCATCCCTGATCTTGTCCCTGTGCTCAGGTTCCTAGCAGAGGCAACAGAGGCGGGCTGAAGGGTGGGAGGGGAGAGAATATGGAACTAAGGGATCCCTTGGCAGATGGAAAGTGATTTGGTCTTGCCAGAGGGGGAGATACACCAGGGAGAGAGAATAACAATGACACTATAACTAATAATGGCCAATATCTATTGGTGCTTTTCTGTGGCAGGGGCTGTGTTTAGCTACTTACTTGTTCGTTCTCTTTATAGAGAGCCTAGTCTATGCCAGCCTCTGTTCACTGAGACTCAGCCATCAGCATGCTCATTCTCTTTGAGAACAATATCCTTATGAAGTTGGTTCTATTATGATAGTAATTTTACAGGTGAGAAAACTAGGGCACAGAGAGGTTAAGAAATTTTCCCAGGATCACACAGCAGTGGAGTCGAGCAGCCTTATCTCAGAGCACCCTATTCTACTTCCTGCTTTGGGCAAACAATAAAAAACAATCAGTCCATTAGGTGCTGGTCCTTTCCTACTTTCACCTCATTTCAACGTTATCAACCCTTTTGAGGTAGATATTATTATGCTCGGTTTACAGAAGGGCAAACTGAGGCTGGGAGAGAAGAAGTCTCTCCAGTGGTGAGTCCAGCCCCACAGCCATGACTAACTGGCTCAAAAGCAGGCACTCTGCAGTGGCAATGCCACATGGACCACTGGTCACCCTGCTGACCCCTGAGAAGGAGCCACAGCACCTGGGCTCCCAGCATGCCATGTGTGGGCCACGTGCCCAGCCGGGAGGGACCCAGAATTCTGAGAAACACTGGGCAGTAGCAGAGGTGAAGGGACAAGAAATGTTCTCACTTTGAGGTTGGATTTCCTGGATTTAAATCGAATGTTAACTCTCCCACCTACTATCTAGGTAGTGCTGGGTGAGTAACTTCACCTCCCTAGATCTTTGCCTCTTCCTCTGTAAAATAATAACACACACGCTGCCTGGAACTCTAGAAGGAGCTTCATAAATGCTGACAATTCGTGTTTCGTAATTTTTGGGGGGCGGGGGGCGGGAGGAGACAGAGTCTCACTCTTGTTGCCTGGGCTAGAGTGCCGTGGCATCAGCCCAGCTCACGGCAACCTCAAACTCCTGGGCTCAAGCGATCCTCCTGCCTCAGCCTCCCGAGTAGCTGGGACTACAGGCATGCGCCACCATGCCCGGCTCGTTTTTTCTATATATTTTTAGTTGGCCAATTAATTTCTTTCTATTTTCAGTAGAGACCTGGGGTCTCGCTCTTGCTCAGGCTGGTCTCGAACTCCTGACCTTGAGTGATCCTCCCGCCTCGGCCTCCCAGAGTGCTAGGATTACAGGCGTGAGCCACCGCGCCCAGGCAATCTGGGCTTCTTAAATAGGAGAAGAATAAAGAACAATGGAATACAGACTTGTCCCAAAACATGTGCTGAAGGTGGCCGAGGGGCAGGAGGAGGGGTGAGGATGTGTGTGTTACGGATGGCACCAGAGAGGCAGGACTTGGGGAGGGACGCGCCTCTCGGCACATCGCAGAAGGATGTGGGTGGAGCTTCAGAGAGGGCAGCAGGGAGGCCGGCTTCTGGCCTCTGCTGGGCTGTCGAGAGTCACTGCCCTTGGCCAGCTCAGCTATAAAAAGTGAGGCAAAGCCCACCTGGGCTCAGGGCTATCTCAAGACCCAAGGTAGACAGGGTGGGAACCATGCTTGTGAACCATACTGTGCTACTGTGACCAGGGTGACAGGGCAGTTGTGGGGTGGTGGCAATCCCTGTCTGCCCTTCCAGCCACGTGGGCACCTGAGACAGGGAGATATTGCCAGCTGCGGGCCAAGAAGAGCAGAGATGAGGATCTGGAATTCTCCTTGGCTCGACCTGAACCCTCCCTCTCCCCACAGTCCCCACGCCCTCCTGTCAGCTGTGTGCCGTCAAGGAGAGGGACACCTGTCACAAGTCTTGTGGCCTCGCCAGCCAGGAGGATCCTGTCAGTCACCTCTGGTCGATAAACTGCTCCCCAGGTGGGGATGCAGGACTAGTTATGGCTCTTTGCTGGGGGTCTTGGCACTTTGTCACTGGCTCCCACATCGAGGCTGGCCAAACACACCTGTGTGGGTTTCCTGACAGGTGCACGCCCATCTGAGATAAGGTGACTCTTCTCCTGGAGGCAGTCCCTGTGGCTTCCCAGTTAGAAGTGATGTCCTAGAACTTTCAGTCCCAGCACTCCAAAGGAGAGGGCGAACGCCGTTGGCAAAAGCCACCCCTTCTGAGCCCTGAATGTCCTCATCTCTTTGTTTGAGGACCTCATGGAAGTCCAGGTGAGGGTGCTTCCTGGCCCCTCTTGGGGAAGGAGCTGCAGAGCGTAAGCACTTTAGAGTCTCATGAACTTTCAACTGAGTTAGAGTCCGGGCTCTGCCACTTACTAGCTGGGAGGCACTGAGCAAATGATCCGCCCTTCCTGAGTCTTAGTTTTCCTCTTCTGTAAAACAGGGGTGGAGGAGTCCTGCTCCCGAGGGTTGCTTTGAAAAATGAATTACATAATTCTTGCACTGTGGCTGGCACTGCTAGGTGTTCATGGATGACAGCCACTTTTCTCGTTGTTGGAAGCACTCACTGCCTCTCAGCCCTTCTCCTCTGAGCAGGGAGATAGGTCCTTGCCAGCCTCTTCCTCATTCATTTATTTCTTCATTCAGTCCCTCACATGGCTCTTCCCCTTATCATCCATCCTTCAGACATCTGCTCTATGTCACCTCCTTCTACAAGATAAGTATCTTATATCACCACACCTTATTCATTGTCTTCACTGCACTTAGCTCAACTCACAATTACGTAATTTGTTCATTTTAAGAGATGTTTCTGGCTCCCCTACTAGACCATACACTTCATGGGGGCAGGGACTTTATCTGTTTGTTGTTGTTGTTTTTCCTTTATCGGTCACCAAATGCCTAGCCCCTGTGCCTGGCACCTTGCACGTACGTAATTAATATTTGTCGAATGAGTCAGGAAGGAGCACGGCTTTATTGAGAGCCTTCTAGGTGACCGGTTCTGCACCAGCCCTGGAGGAATCCAGCAGTGAATAATATGGACCTAGTTCTTGACCTTGCAGAGCTGATGACCTGATGCTCCCAAGGGAGTGGTCACAGGAGAAGGGACCAGTGGAGGTGCATGGTGGTGGGAAGGAAGGCTTTTCACCAGCTGGGAGCACACGGAATTATAGAATCTCCAGGTGAGAACCAGCCCAACCCCTTCTGAGCCCTGCATGTCCTCATCACTTCGCTTGAGGACCTCGGGGTCAGTCCCATCTGGGAGCTGCCTCTGAATGAGGACTCCCTCCATCCTATTGCACTAAGTATTTGTTCCCACCATTGTTTCTGAAAGCCATTCTCGAGGCCATCCTTGCCTGGCCAGTGTCCTATTTCTGGAAAGCTCACTGTTAGCTTTCCAGAGGGAAGGAGCCAATTGGAACACCTTGTTCTTGCTAATGATGCCAGTGGGTCACGGTGCTACTTCCTTCTGCCAGCACAGGGGCGTTTTTGAAAGTGACTTCTGAAAAGATTATCTTATCCAAAGGAGAGGATGCCCCAACGTGTTTTTTTTATGCAATCCTCAATTGCATACTTTCTTAGAATCGGTGGCTCTTGAGTTTTAAAGGGAATTTGAAGAAGTGACTTCCCATCTGCAATGGGGATTCTCTGCAACAGCTATACCAAGCGGTCACCTTGTCCATGACCGGGAATACCTCTGAGAACAGGCACTTCACTGTCTCTGAAGGCTGACTTTCCAGCTCAACATGCCTTGGGGGTATTAGAAAAATTCTCTAGGCCACACTCGAACTTGGCATTTGTCTTGCTTTCCCACTTGGAGTCACACAGAGGATATTTAGTTCTATTTTTTACAGATGTTAGAAAGATATTTGCCCCTTATGTATGGTAGAATATGTTTTATCTGGCGCTAGGTGCTTGAAACAGCCACATTTTTAGGAGCTCAAACACTTTTAAAATCATGTTGCTGCAATAACTGAACAATATTTTGTTACGGTGAGTATAGCACGCGGGTGGTGTGATTCACCAAGCAGAGAACGACACAGTGGCCCAAAGTTCAAGAGATGGACAGGATGGGACAAGTCATAACAGATAATCTCAGGGACGTGGGGGTGATCTTGCTGGTAACACAGGTTTTGTTATGCTTTTTGAGCATTTGGGTGACAACTGATGTTTTCGGTGTCCAATTACAATTGCGTAAAAATTGCGTATTATATATTTCTCTATTTTATACAGCGAGGGGCAAAAAAGATCACGAGAAGACAACCAGAAGTTGGGGCTAGAGCAAGCCTTTTTTCTGTCATTGAAATGTTGTGTGGTGAAGATGTCTAAACTCCACAATTATCATTAATTCCAACTAGGTCAGATCTCATTTATTGCATAGAGCTTCAAGGACCATCAGCAGCACGGCCTTTCTTAGAATGGCATCCAACTACTTATTCTCCTCTGAAACATTACGCTCAGAATGGGGCACTGTATTTTCAGTACAGTGCAAGCAGCATAGAGCAGAGCAAGATTATCCCCTCCTCTATCCTTGAAGCTACATTTGTTTTACTTTTATATCCAAAGACTCATCCACTCTTTGGACAGTAGAAGAATTATAAATAATATAGAGAGAGATACTCCATGTAGATTC